CCCCGGGGGTAGGTTTGATTGTTCCCCGCGGGGTATATAAGGGGTGTTAAGGAGGGTCGTGTGCCAGACACGCAGCCCCGACGGGCCCCGGGCGCCGCTCCCGCCGCCGCCGCCCGCCCAGACCCGCCCGCCGCCCCCGGGGCGCGTGCCAGCGACGCGGCCCCCCCACACCGCGCCCCCCCCCCTCCCCTATTCCCCGATCCCCCCGCGCTTTGGTCCCCACGCGACCCCCGCCCCGCTCCGTCAAACCGGCGAACCGTCGAGCCGCCGCTGCTGCCGCCCGGCGCTTCCCCGGTGCTGCCCGGCGCGGCCGCCCGCAAGGATGCTGGTGAAGGCGGAGGTCCTGGCGCCGGCCGCCGAGGACGAGCTGCTGCTGCTGGGGCTGGGCTCGCCCGCCCCCTCGCCCTCGCTGCCGTCCAGCGCCGAGGAGGAGGAGGAGGAGGAGGAGGAAGAGGAGGAGGAGGAGGAGCCGCGCACCGCCCCGCCGGCGCGCCCCGTGGAGGCGGCGGGCGGCCGCGGGCTGCGGCGGGCGGAGGGGAAGCGGCGGCCGGGGCGGTCCCGGGGCGCCCCGCGGGCGGCGCGCACGGCGGAGACGGCGCAGCGCATCAAGCGGAGCCGGCGGCTCAAGGCCAACAACCGGGAGCGCAACCGGATGCACAACCTGAACGCGGCGCTGGACGCCCTGCGCGACGTGCTGCCCACCTTCCCCGAGGACGCCAAGCTCACCAAGATCGAGACGCTGCGCTTCGCCCACAACTACATCTGGGCGCTCACCGAGACCCTGCGGCTGGCCGGGGCGGCGCGGCTCGGCCCCGACGGGGCGGCGGGCGCGGGGGTCCCCGCCGAGGGCAGCCCCTCGCCCGCCTCCTCCTGGAGCGGCGGCGCCGCCAGCCCCGCGCCCTCCGCCTCCCCGTACGCCTGCACTTTATCGCCCGCCAGCCCCGCCGGCTCCGCCTCGGACCCCGAGCACTGGCCGGGCCGCTTCGCCCCGGCGCCGCCGCTGCCCCGCCGCTGCCTCTAGCCCGCCCCGGCGCTCCCGGGGCTCCCCCCGGGGCGGCGGCGGCGGCGGCATCTGCCCCATTCCCAGGGCAGGGCGGGCTGTGGGAACGGCACCTGCCAAACCAAACTTTCCGTCTCTCTTTCTCTTTCTCTCTCTCTCTCTCTCTCTCTCTCTCCGATGTGCACTTTGTCCAGTTTTCCCAGATCTGTCACCGCGGGGCTTTTGTGTGTCCCTGTCCCCCCCCCCCTTTCCCCGCTCCCCCCTTTGCCATCTGTCCCTTATGATTTATAGGCGGGAGGGGGGGTTTGGAAAGCGAGAAAAAAAAAAAAAAGTAAATTGTTTTGTTAGGGGTCCAGGTTAGAAGTCATTGTATAATTTGTAGGCTTTGTGAGGGCTGAATGCAAGCGTGGAAATTTAGGCTGAACTCTCTATCAAAAGGGAAAAAAAAATCGGGAGGGGGGGAATGGGGAAGGATCTCCTCATACATTATTTATTTCGACCTTTAGGGGACGAGGAACTCCCCCCTTCTTTCAGGAGATTAAAAATAAATCAACAGACTGAAAACCTCAACAGACACGGAACATTACAGCGATCAGCCACACACGTGTTCACATTTATTTATTATAAAGACAGATTTCATGGAAAATATGTATTTTTTTGTATAATTTACAGAGTTTATTCTAGTATGTATTTACAGCTGAAGAGCAAAGGGACCGTCCTTGTGATAAAATATAAATAAAAAGCTCTAATTTTCGTACCTTTGGGGCTGCTGCTTTTTCTGCTTTACGTGACAGCGACCGGGAATTACGGGATTGGGCCTGTCCTTGTCTCTGGTGAAACCGGGGTCTGGTGGGAGCTGATGCCACTTACAGCAGGTCCACAGGCAACAGCTGCTTCAGGACCTGCAAAAAAACCATTATATATGTATATATACGTATATTTTTAAATATATACATATATATATATGAGTTCAGTGGAAGTTTACTGATCATTTACCTTTGCCTCTTGGTACAGAAGATGCTGACAGGAAACGTGGGATGGATGGATGGATGGATGGATGGTTGGATGGATGGATGGATGAATAGATAAACAGTTGTCACGCTTCTTCGGGCCGAAGGATTTCACCGAGAAGGCCACAGGAAATAAATGTTACTGAGGAGAAAATGATTGGGCTACAAAAGAGGAAGAATTCCCTTTCTCTGCCTCTCTGAGGGACGGGTGAATCCCAAGGCACTTGCAATTCCGGGGGGTTCGGTTCGGTGTGCACAGCACACGGCCAGGGATGTCACCATGGAGGGGGATGCTGGAGGCCGCCCAGGCCCTTCAATCATCGTGCCCGTGCGCCCGGGAGCACTTTGTGACTTCTGGGTACAAACACCTGGAAATCATTAAAAACCAGCAGAGGCGCCTGAATGTATTAATTAAATAAAATGCTCAGCACGCGAATCCCGCCCGGTGCCCTCCGGATCAAAACCCGGCCCTCGGAGCGACGTCCGCGAGGGGTGGGGGCAGAGGGGGAAGAGAAAAAAAAAGCCCAAAATGTGTGAAAAGAGAATTAGTGAAATTAGGTTAGGCCAATAAACCACGCAGGGGTCCCCCAGCCCCGCAGCCTCGGGCGAGCAGCGCTATCTAGCCTGATCTATTGTTTCCCCCCCTGGCAGGGGGGTTATTGTGTGATAAATAATTCCCTTAAAAAAAAAAAAAAAAGAAAAAGAAAAAAAAGTGGGAGCATTTGCATAATCACCGCTTTGATGTGGCCAGCAAGATGAAGCTGTGTCCCCCCAAATCTGCCACGGGCCAGGAGGAACAAAACAAGAGGGAGCCTTTGACGGCGCTGGCGGTGTGTGGGGCAGCCCGTCGGGAGCGGGTTTTTCACTCTCACTCTCTTTTAACGACCCCTTTTAATGATTAAACTCCAGGAATGCCAAAAAGAAGCCGAGAGAGCCTCGCTCTCGCCCTCTCCGTCTTTTCTGGTCGGGTCTCATTGTCCTTCCTGGTTTCTCTGTCGCTTTTAAGAGGCGCTGGAGTAAGTGCCTTCAGCTCTTCAGAAGGCCAGGATGGATGGGATGCACTTCTCTCTTGGTGGTGGAGCCGTGCAGGAGCAGGAGGGACATCTCGGCTGGCTCAGCACTGGGATGCTCCCTCCGGCTGTCCTCGGGGAGGGACGCTGCTTCTTGCCGGGTGCGTCATCCTGGAGGGATTTTCCTCCATCCCAGGTACAGACAGGAGCATCCCCATCCTGCTGGGGCTGTGGCGATGGGAACCGCCGTGGGAAAAAGCACACGTCGCGTCGGAGGACGGAGGGGGGCTTTGGAGGGGGGTTTGGGGTGGGAGTCATGCCAGCCAAACCTCCCTGCGGAAGGCTGGGCTCAGCTGGAGATGCCCTTGGAAGAGACAGGCCCAAGGGGGGCAAGGCAGGGAGGGGGAGACAGGGCTGTGTTGGCAAAGGCTGAGCCAGAGAGGCTGGATTTGCCACCTAAGCCAGTCACCCTCATCCCAGTTTTTCATTTGAATGTGGCCAAAAGCATTTATTCCCCTCTTTCTTCCCTCTAAACTTGAGTTTATTACTCTCTTTCCTTCTTTTTTTCTCGTATTTTTCTCTTTTCTCTCAGAAGACTGGTTTTTGGAGGTGATGGCCGGTCCCCAGAGCCAATTGCAGCCAACCTGGAAGCGGCCCAGGACACGCAAGACGGAAACTCTCCTCCTTGGATGACGAAACAAACCTGGGGGTGGTTTCCATGGCAGCCCCTTGCCCCCAGAACATGTGTTTATGATCCTTCTGTGTATTGTATTTTGGCATAAAAGCTCCTCCGCACTGTCAGGGCTGGAGGGGCAGCACGAAAGCCCCCGAGGGGGTTTTACAGCCCCTCCTTGGCATAAGAATAGTGCCGAGGAGCCAAAGCGGTCCCAGCCGCACCCCAAGGGCTGCCGTGCCTGCTTTCATGTCAGGCATCAATCTTTCCATGTGGTGTCATCATTAAACACTGTTCCCAACACAGCCCTCAAGTGGCTGGCAGATCCTAAGCCCAGTTTTCCTAAAGCCTTATTCAGGTGCCTCAGGTTGGGCTTCGCCCTTGTCCCGGATGATGTGTGGATTTGGCCCGTGCGGCCCCAATTCCCCCTCCCCACGGGCAAAAAAAAAAATCTCAGTTATCTCTTATACAGTCAATCCTCTGGCAGAAACAGAAATCCCGGTGGGAATTTTGTTGCAACCTGGTGTAGGTTGTTGTCTTACTTCAGGGCTAAATCTTGTTTGTTATGGCCTAAGACACTCTTTTGCTCTGACAACGTAAGGATATCTATCAGGATATTAGGATATCAGGATATTAGGATATCAGGATATCCTGCCTTTTGCCTACGATGCTGCAACAGCTGTGCAGGTCCAGCAAAATGCTGGCATCCTGCTCATCCCCGTGACCTCTTGTACAGAACTCAGATCAAGGAGAGGTAAAACCCTCGCGGTGCTCGGATTTAAAATAAGACCTTTAGAAATTGCTCGGAGAGAAAAGAAATCCTCAGAGGGTCACTTTGCAGCGGCCGGGAGGGAAGAGGGACGGTGCTGGGGCGGCTGTGACACGCAGCCACCCCCTTCCCCTTGCCTCCCCCTCCTCCTCCTTTTATTAAAAAGCAGAGAGCCCGGCCCAAAGCTGACGGCATATTTACCTTCATGAGTTTTAAAAAAAGTTAATTACCGCTCGGAGCAAGTTGGTCGGGCTGTCCTGAGCTGTCTTTTATTAGCAGTCGCCTTCATTAATTTCCCTCGCTGGATTTGCTGCTAATAGCCTGCCTGGTCCTGGGCAGCACAAAGCAGCATCTGTGCCATTGAGCAGAAAAGCGGGAGTCAGGCAAAGGGGGGCACTGGGGGGGGGGCGACGCCGTTTGCAAATCAACCTCTATTAACGTGATGTCCTGCTCGGAGGGGACGGCAGCCCCGGTAGCCGGCACGGCAGTTTGGGCTCCGCTCGGCTGTTACCGAGGGAGGAAAGGCACCTGCTGCCTGCCGGGGGGGGGACCCTGCCCTCATCCTGCGCCCCTGGGTGCTGGCTGTGCCACCCAGCCACCCCCTGGATGCGGCGGGGGAAGAGGGATGCTGGACCTGCCTCTACGGGATCTGCGCTCCCCCTCGGTGCTGTGGGTGCTCTGGTCCTCTGAGCAGCATCCACCGCTTAGCAAATTATTGTTAATAACTTGTTATCTTTGGATGAAAGATACGCTCTGCCTCAAAAACAGCTTGGCAGAGAAGTTTGGGATTAGGGAATGGGATTAAGTTCTGTTTGGAGGGGCACAGTGGGCAGGCTGGGGGGGCTGGAGGCATCACCGACTCACACGAGCTGGGGCAGCGGGAGGCTGCGGAGGCCAACAGCCCCATCTGCTCCCGCTCTGCCAAGGGACAGGGGAGACGATTTCATCCAAGTGGAAAAAAGGAGGGTGGCCTGTGTCGCTCCCAGGAGAGGGATGAGAGCTGCACGCTGCTGCCAGTTTCCCTGCAGGGCCAGGGAGGGCACCCGGGTGCCAGTGCGGGGACTTCCCTCGGGGCAGCAGGTGACAGCAGCAGTTATCAAGCTGTTTTTTTCTTTTGCTTTGCTGCAAATATTCCCGCTCTGGTTAGCGGGAAGGAGATGCCGAGGAGGCCGGCGCTGCCGTGTCTTTCCAAGCAGAAGAGATCGGGCAGCGCGGGCTGCGGTTCTGCGCTCGCTGGCGTGAGGCTTTGCCCTCAGCCCCCATGAATAGCTGTGTCTGGCGAAGGAGCGGCGCCTAAATCCAGCAGCTGGGCCCCAGGGGCAGCTGATGCCGGGTTTATGGCAGCAGGGCCGTGCTGCCTCGCGTGCAGGGGCTGCCTCACAGCTGGAGGGGTCACCTCGCGCCCGCTCCCCGCCGGCCGTAATGGCCTGGGATGCTGAGACTCACAGGGAGGCAAGCCTGGCTCAGCACTGTATTGTTGGGACAACTGAGGGCCTCCCTTTCCTCTGTGTCTTTTCTAAGGGAAATCCCCCAAAGTGCTCCATAGAGTCACTAGTTAC